TACAGCTGACAGGTTCTAATTGAAGAGATTAGTGTATATTTTCCAAATACGCCAATGCTTATGCTATGACAATCTAAAGACAAGATTAAGTCGGGATTAAACCGCAAAGCTCACATCAGTTTCACTGCTGAGATGCCACTAAAGCCTCTAAGGTGACATTCCTTCTTCTCAGCATGTCACTGTTAAATTTAACATCAAACCAGTTGAGCAGATTGAGACAAAAACACCTGTCTTTCAGCTCAGAGCCTCAAAGAAAACAACAACTATCCAAAGGTCAGAGGTCTCTCGTTCCTCAGACATCTATGACAATACAGCTGCTTTTCTGCTACAATGTGTGAACAATAAAGGGTCCACTGCGCCGTCTTCAAGACCACCCATGTAAATCGCATTTCTAACCTCACCCCTGCAGCAAGAGGGGTCAACAGTCAGCAGTATCGTCTGCTCGAATGTCTTCACCAGCTAAAAATGAGAATCTGCTGGCCGCTGGCTGTTATGTTGCTTTAATCAACACATCTCTCATCCAGAGAAGCGAGCTAAGTATTTATAAAACTTTTAAAGTTGTGACTATACGCCCACAAGTCACACTTTTATTAGCAGATAAAGAACATCAGGTGCACTGCCAAAAGCCAGGGTGCAAAACAAACACAAAGCAAAGCACAGGTGGCAGAGTTTATTTGGCTCGTATTATTCAGAGTAGAACAAAAAAAAAGTCAAGTGGACCCTTCTGCTCTTTGCTTCAACAAGTGACAAAACACTGCCTCTATAAAAAGCCCCAGAACTTATTAAATGGGTTTAGGAGGTAGGAGGTGTGGGTTTGCTTCTATCTTCACATGGACTTATGAGCCAAGGGTTTCTAACACCAACAGCAGCCATCCAAGCAGCAACATGACGTTTATGATTTTCAGGCTAACTGCATCAGTGGTAAGACTTAAGGGGCTTCAAGTCTTACCAGAAACTAGAAGATAAGAGAAGTGCTCAATTTTCTTACAAACATCCGTACAGAAATGTAAAGGTTTGCTGTGTCTGCATTTAGGAGTCAATGCACTATAGAGGTAATGTTGATATTTTTACAAAGTCAAATCTTTGTTCTAAGTCACAATCAGTAAATCTGGATACTATTTTTTGACCACTCGTCTTTGTAATTAAGCTTTACCTCTGGGTAATTTTAAATGGAGAGAATCTGTGGACAAAAACATTTAAATCTGGCAACAGAATCTTAGTTTAAATTAGGTGTGAACTTTAGTTTGGCCACTTTAATACAAAAGAAATGCTTTTTCTTTTTCTAACACTTTTTGTAGTTCTGTCTGGATGTTTAATGCTGTTTTCCTGTTTTATTCCCTTGCCTTCTGCTCCTTTATTTCATGAATCCATAATCAACTCTGATGAGCTCTGATCTGCAGTTTGAATTTAGCATTTCAAAAATAATAAACAGAAAAAAAATTTAGATGTTGTATTTCTGAATGTCTTGTAAATAATATCTGTAGAAAAAAGCATCAGAATGCAAATATTTGCATTCTTTCAAAAAAATGGCGAGGCAGTGAAGGTTGTTATCCTGTAAAACCTCGTCAAGGTTATTAGCCTATTACTTATTAAAGTGATTAACCTTTTAGAAACCTTTCACCGTATTCAATGGCAAAACTATAATGGTTCAAAAATCCTGTGCTGAAATCTGGTTAGAAAGCAATTAAAAAGCAACAAGTAAAGCACGAAAAAAAAACATATGTTTACAGAACAGCACCTTACTGTGCTGCTATCGCTTCATGAAATATTTCATTACTTAGATTTAAATCCATATTTATTATTATTATGCTTTAAAAAATCACACATTACAAAAGTTGGGGCGTTAAAAACTCTTAATAATCAATTTAACTTTCTCCTCGTCTTTCATTAATAGCCTTTCATTCTCCATCTGTTATTCTGGCACTAAATTAAACACAATTTTTGGAGTAAATACTCAACAGAACCTTGAGAGATTCTGGCAGCAAGGCTCTTATTTTCCATTGAAAGACTACACAGGTGCAGTCGTCAGAAGCAGATAAGTGATCTGCCAAAAGAAGAAGCCTTAACTACATTCACTCCTGAGCTCCTGTGTATAAACTGTACTGAGAGATTAAATTACAAGATTCAACTTGTTGTTTTGTAAGTGAAAGTAAAGCATTATATGGGGTTTCACAATATTTATATGCGCTTTCGAAAGTTTCAAAGCAGTCATTTTAATATCATTTCAAATTAAGGAACTCAATAAAGATAAAGTTTACTCAGCAATAGAAATCCCTTGAGAGCAATAAACAAGGCTGAATAATTGCTGGGTTCCTTTGCGTAGAGGTGGCCATGGTGCCTTAAAGTTGCTTCCTCCATCTTAATCTAAGGTATTTTAAGTTTGTTCTATCCATGCATTAAAATATTTTTTTTTTTGTTAGCTTGATTTATACATCTATGTTTTTCAATTGAGCCCAGACTTTCTTATTCTCAGTCACCTTTTTCACCCTTTGAGCTTGTAAAGCCAGAGGCTCTGAAAGCCAAGAACACATTAGGAACGCAGTAATGCTGCCCAAAATATAACAGTTGTCAACCTTAACCCCTAAGCCCCACAGAAAGCATCACGCTTTAATTGTCAATGTATAAAATGCAAAAATAATATTGCTTGCTAGGATATCTTTTAAGCTAGCTATAGTAAGGCATGTTGTGCAATAAACAGTCTGTGATAATGAGGAGTAGCAATATCTGTTCTCCTACAGATTTATTTTTTTATATACAGACATGGGAAATAACGTGTTTAAGTTTGCTCCTGATTGGTCTTTGGGATGTTTAACATTTAGCATTACTGTAATAATCCATTTTGAGGTATTTACATTTTTTTTTTCATATTTTACTGAAAACAAACTTCAGAGAAAAATACAGCTCATTTATTTACAGAGAAAAGAGATTGATTTCCATTCTAAAAAAATAATCCTAATCTGAAAACTGCAAGAGATCTCAAGGTTTCATATGGACAACTGAGAAAAGGATGACCTGAACATGCTTTCTACTCACACTAGAAGGGGGAAAAAATTCAATATCAATATATATCGCTATGTAATTCAATTCAGTTACTGTGATATGAAATTTCAGATATCTCAACGATATACACTACTGTCCGTGATTACAGCATTTTCACTGACTGAT